GGTGGGCTCACACAAGGGATGCTCAGCCCAAGGTCCTGAACCCTGCGAGGGACCGGCTGGAGCTGCAGCCAAGCCAGATCTTCGAGGTCTGCTTCCCTTCAAGGGAAAGTTTAATCGTTTTCCCACCTGGCTGTTGTCTCTGTGAGCAAAAAAGCATGGAGCCAGCCTGAAACCAGCAGGACTCGGGAGACTGTAGGAGCAGAGGTGCAGGGACACTCTTTTGGGGAATGAGGTGCGTGGGTGGGGATGGCTTCTGGGTTGTGCAGCTGAAACTGGCTTTGGATTTCAGATCTGTAATGAGTCTGTGCCTGAGCTTATCCTGCATGGATTTTATTAATAAGGGTAAACTGCTATGTGATGCAAGGGTTGAAGGGATGTAAGCTCAGTTCTGTTCTAAAATTGGGCCATGATGACATCTCCTTTTATTTTTGTCTTTAAATAACAAATTAAAACTCCTCCAGAACTATGCATTTTCCTTGCCTAGAAGCACTGTGGTCTTAATTGATCTCCTCTCCCAGGGAAGCTGGTGGGCAGATTCTACGATGAAAATGGGGCACCGACAGAAGCCCTGAGGGAGGTTGAGGCTGCCATTGAGGAAGCTCTCAAATTCCAAGCAGAAAGTGAGCAGAAGAAGCAGCAGTTCCCACCCTGCAACTCTGAATGGAGCTCTGCTAAAGGCACGCGGTTCTGGTGCTCCAGACAGAGGTAAGCTTGTACACTTTGGAGCAGAGCCTTTTTTTGGGTGCCCTGTGCTTTGTTCCTGCCTCTCCTGGCAGGAGGGGTGTGGGAAGATGTCCTGGCTCCTGCAGCCACCACACTCATGGGTAGGTGAGGTCTGTGACAACAACTGGAGGCTGTTTCCTCTTATCCTCTTACCCTGTCCCTTGTTCCCTGGGAGCAGAGCCCGACCTTCAACTCCTATTATGAAGTTGTAGAGAGTGAGAAGGTCCCCCTGAGCCTCCTTTTCTCCAGGCTTAATTTCTTCTATCACACTGGAATCAGAGAATTTACCACATATGCACCTGATCCTCCTGTTCTCAGCAAAACAGGACAGAAATCCCAGTAGAACTGGGATTCAAACAGCTTCTGTCCCCCATCAGGAGTACAAACATTGATCTATGTTTTTGAGACAGTTTCACTGTGATACAACACTTTCACTTAAAACACATAAAAATGAGGTTAAGCTTTGAATAACCACTTGGGACCATGTGGCAGTGACTTGTATAAGAAGCTTAAAAGCTGCAGTGGTTGGGGACCCGGCAGGATTTGGCCCACAGAGAGACACTTAGATATAAAGACACAAGACTAATTAGTTGGGGAAGTACTTTTTCTTCTGCCCCAGTTCTCAGAAATCAGTGTTTAGTCAAGGCACAGAGAGCCTAAAAGAGCCCAGACTAGTGGAAGGTGTCCCTGCCTATGGCAGGGGGTGGAACTGGATGATCTTCAAGGTCCCTTCCAACCCAAGCCACTGTGATTCTGTGAAGATCTGTGGTAACCTGTGAGCATTTAGATGCCTGCAGAAAAGGCATCTTGCTGTGCAACAGAAAGCTGTGATTCCTCTTCCAGCAATGGAAAGATGGAATGCAGGAGTTGGTCACTCTCAGAAGGGTGGAACCTGTAGCAGCAGTGGTGAAAGCAGGTTCAGGCCACAGGTTTCTGAAGCACAATAAAAAGGTATCAGCTGGGAGCAAAGTCCACCTCAGTGTTAGTTCTAGTTTTCCCAGATTGTCTTAAGTTTTTTTTGTAAGGATTCTCCATTGACTGGAAGCATTTTCATGGGTTTGAATTGTAATTTATTTTCATTCTCCATTCCTAGTGGGGGAGTGCACAGAGACTGGGCCGGAGTCCCTCGGAAGCTGTACCGCCCTGGCTCGCACGGGAGCCGCTGTGTGTGTGTGAGGAGCTCAGGTCCCCCCTGGGGCCAGCCACACTCCTCCCAGCACAGCGACAGAGGGGACCTGGATCACCCTCACCTGGAGCAGTACGAGGGCTGCCACCCCCTGGCCCAGCAGTGTGTCCTCTTCATGGGCTGACTGCAGGTGCTGCATTCCAGGGCAGTGAGAGTCCTGCAGTGAAACATCGTGCTTTGGGTGGGCAGCTCCAGCTCCATCCCTTCCACCTGTCTGTGGAAGGGAGCAGTAACAATCTAAACATGTTATTTGTGATGCTTTTTAACATATGGAGATGGAGTTGAGAGAAGGAAGAAACACCTCAGCCAGCTTTTAAAAAATCAAGTAACAGGATGCTTTCTTTATTTCTATGGGAAATATTTTTCCCATTTATCTGGGAACAAACTGTAAGATGCACAGCCTGAACTGTATTTTTGAACAGCTTTCTTGTGCAGTCAGGAAATGGATGTTTGTGTGCACAGTGGTGGGACAGTGTGCTGTGGTTTAAGGCAGCAAGCACAGGAACTGCTGCAGCATCTCTGCCCACACTTGATGCACAGTCCACAGGTCCTGCTGCAGGGCAGTGCTGATGCTCCTTCCCAGGCACCTGACTCACTCCAAAGTTTAAAGGTAGCAGGGAGAACCCTGAATTTCCTCTGCAATTAAGGTCCAGAGTATCTAGGAACTTGCGCAGTTTAGTTAGACACAAGCTTTATCAAATTCTTGGAGTAGAGAAGGCAAAGGCCAGAGCTGTATTTCCACATTCAGTGTTTACATTAAATACTGTGCCAAGATATTGAAGCCACCTATGAGGATTGGTGCTTGATATTAACCTCACCCTCCTGTTCAGTGATTCACCACTTTCAAACTTGTTCTGATCAGGAATGAGTAGTTTTAAATAGCTTTCTTTTTGTTGCCTGGGTGGCAACAGAACCATCCTACTGTAATCTGCCTCCTGTTTCCATTCTGGTATAAAACTTCCTCCCATCTGGTCTGTGCCTATCACACTATAAACTGAGCTGGATGTGCCCTTACAAGACCCAGCACTCTTAAAATCTATAGTTACTGTATCACAGCTAGCAGAATTCGGCACTTTGAACGACTCCCAGAAATGCAGGGCAGGTTATTACCATTTCTGGGTGGGAGGAAGGAATACCTGCACAGGGTTCAGGCACTACAAACCTCAAGCTGCAGGGAAGCAGTTGCTGGTTTTAATGGCATCTGCTGTTAAAATCAGTTTTGGTGTAGCTGAGCTTTGAGAGAACCACGCAGATCAAGGTCCAGTGGTGGCACAGGTCCCTGCTGAATTGTGGTCAGTTCTTCTCCTTAAGGCAGCTGCCACCTATGTGTAAGCAACTGTAAAGTATTTATAAACTGTTTTTTAGCTACCACCACCTCTAAAGAGAGGCCCAAAATCTAAGTGATTAGTTAATTAGCAAGTTTACTCCCTTGCAGTAGGACACGTTACAACACTTCCCACTGACAAAAGCTCAGAGGATGCTCCAGCTGCCAGGGGTGAAGCCACACAGCAACTTCAGTATGTACATGCTTGTTTTAACAGTGGGCACAGTGGGGGTTGTGGTTTTATTTTTGGGGTTTTTTACCTATCATCATCCTGAAGGGAAGCTCTTCCAGGCATTGCCCTGCTCTGCCAGCTCGTAGTGCTGGGGGTAGGATGTGTGGCAGAACTGAACCTCAGCCCCGGGCTTGAGCCATCTTTGGGGGTGGAGTGAGCAACTCCCTTCACATGATGCTGAAGATCAAGCTTTGTAAAAGGTGCAGGGAAGAGCTACAAAGCAACACTTCACTGCCCCCACAACTTCAGCCTTTGCCACATTTAAAAAGACACCACCACTTTAAAAAGAAATTGCATTTAAAGCATCTCCCCAAATAATTAGTGCCTTTTGAAGAGCTTTTTTTAAGCAATTTAAAAAGTTGCAGTAAATTCCAGACTATTAAATGCTGTAGGAAGTAGTTTGTGAGGGCAAACCAGTCCCAGTGAAGGTGGACCAGCTTGACCTTCTAAGCAAGTTTCATCTTGCTGCAACACTCAATCACTGTGCAGATGGTGCTGAGGGGATGGTTTTGATTGCAAGAGCTACACAAAAATCAAATAAACTGCTGCAAAAAGGCAAGGCAGGAAGGGTGTTGGTTAAGTTAAAGTTGGTTGAAAACCAGTTCACAGCTTATTCCTCAGTTTAGTTTGGTAACACTGTGGGGGGAAGAGTGTCTTGCACTAGGAATAAGTCATCTATTAAAGCAAACAAGGAGACACCCTCACTGACCTGAAGTGCTCCAAGACTGTCATGCTTGTAACTCCAATTCAGCAGCTCAGCTGGATTCTCCTGGGGTGGAAAAGAGTGGAAGAAAACAGTGATAGCTACAGAGGGCTCAAGTCACCACAGACAGTGCTCTAATAAAGCTCACCATTCATCTGTACTTCAGTTAAGTTTTATTAATAAAAGACTAATGCATCACAATCTCACCCAGAAGCCGTGGCTGGGTTTGCTATTGCACTGAAGTTTTCCTTTTCCTGAAGTGAAGCTGCAGCAGTTCTCTGCTCTCCCAGGGGCCTGAGCTGCCTCCAGTACACAGCTGAGTACACAGAGTGTTAGTAACTCAAACTGATGAACTCCATGAAGCACCTCTGGCTCGTGGGGAGCTCGTGTTTGTTTCACAAGACTGATTATAGGTAAGTCTAGTATAAGGCATTCAAGATGACTACATGGTACAAACTAGAACACCAGACCTTGACAGCCAAAAGAACAGTTGTAGCAGTTCCACAGCATGAAAATGAATACCTGGACTAATTTCAGAACAAAGAATAAAGTTGTTATGCCCGACTGGATATTGTATCCCTGCTTTTCTTTGTGGTTTGTGAGTATAAGCTTGCAGAGGGGGAGCTGTCTCTACAGAAGCAGATACTTCCTTAGCAAGGTTTCACCTCACGATGCATCATCTAAGTTCTGCATTTTATTACAAGTAGAATCATTACACAACAAAGTAATGCATATTGGAAAAATACATTTTTACAACGACTCCAGACAAACATTGCAGATAAAATGCCATTGTTCTAAGACTTCCTTTTCTATTTCACAGAGGGTATTAGAAGGTTCAGTTATTTCTGTCACTCATACAAGCTTTGATTTTTCTAGAGACGAGTTTGCTGCAGTGACCACCTCTGCTGGTTACAAAAAAAGAGGACTTGCCTATTAACATTTGATCTACAAAACGATCCAGCCTTGGCCTCCCATACTGTTACATGTTAGTTTGTAAGCACTACATGAGCAGTTGGACAAGCTGTTATCTCCAGCATGGGAAGTCATTAAGGCATCTGTCAGCTTTTAGCCAGCAACTTACTCTGCTCTGTTAGTACCTTCAAAAGCAACATTCTCACTCCACTCAGTGGTGTGAAACAGTGACTGCACCTTTTACAGACAAAAAATTTCATCCAGACCACAGTTTGTGCTTGTGTAAGAGTGCTGGACCATGGTATTTGCTTGTGTAAGAGTGCTGGATGACTGCAATCAAAAGGAATCCAGTCTCAGAACAAAAAGCTGCAGCATGAACCACCCAACTTCCCATGCAGCCCTGCTGAAGTGCCTGAAGCCTCGTGTGACAGCAGCACTTCCAGGGACACAAACTCATTTTCCATCTAACCTTTTGTTCAATGCTTGGCAGACTTGAGTCTCGAGTTAATAGATACCATTAAAAGCAGGGGTAAGAGAGGTGGGGGGTTGGTAAAAACTGTATTATGCTACAAAAAGGGAAGAGCAGTTATTTAGAGTTAGAAATGTGTTGACCACCACTACATTACCAAGCGCCCCATTCACATTTGTACCCTGTAGTGGAGCATTGCCAGCAAAACTCCCAAAAAAGTCTCAGTGGTCTGAGAGTTGAGACCAACACTAGGCAGAGTGTGTGAGGGATTGAGTCCCACCAGTTGTCTGGTGGGGTCAACTCCTCAGCTGAACTAGGAAAGAATGAACTTGGGTTTTGGTTCAAGTTGTGAGCTTTTCCCCTTTAGCTCTGGCAGAAAGCTATTTAGAGTTGGCTGGAAGGAAACTATCTCAAAGGCACTTTAAAAGGATCAAATTTGCTCAATTTAGTTGCTTCAAATTTAACTAACACCTCAGGCTGTATTATTTAACAATAACCTTAGCTTTCCCTTCAGACTTCAGTAAGATGGGACACTACTGGCTGTAAACAGCAAACCAGGAGCACTACAGATGGGTTTCCCAGATCTTTCCCAGTTTTACAGTTATAATCAATATCCTGTTTTTTAGAAGAGCAGCTACCCAGCCTTACCTTGCCATTCAGTTAAGCTGAATTTTCACCAGATCCACATTTTCCATCATTATAAAGCTTGCTTATCTGTTAGAGCTGAGCTCCCTGTTCCCTTGCCCTTCCATCAGGGGAGCCACTGAAAAAGTGATGTTTAAATGCTTTGGCAATTACATGCTGTGCAGTTTTCCAATGAGGCTGAAGCCCATAGGCTGTGGCCTTGGAAAACCCCTCCTCTGCACTCTCAGCATTCTGAGCACACTCTTACCTTTCCACATCACTTCAGCTCCAAACCAACAACATGTTATCATGGGACTACAGTCAAGACTTCTTTCACCAAATGCACTTTCCCTCTATTGTTATCTTTCACTCCTAGACATCTGCAACCAGTGACACCCTGAAATATCAGAAGTACAATGTTTTCCATCATCTCTTTCACTTAAAAACCCCAAACTGTAGACTGCAGTTAGCTGACACCATCAATTACTGTAGCTAACATTAACTGACACCACTATTTTCCCTCATTCACCTACACTATTATGCCAGAGATGCACCATTTCCATTAGTAACTGTGTTAGAGACCAGCTGTGTTACCCAAGCATTCTGTTGGAACATGACAGCAGCAGACATCAAACAGTGAGGCAAGTTTGTATTGTCATCCATTGTTCTTCCCTAGTGGTACAGGGGTGATTCCAGTTACAATATGTGCATATTGGAAGATCAAAGTGCAGATCAAGTGAGACTTGATGTGAAATTAATCATACAAATGTCAGCAATTACACCCTCCTATCCTCTCCTTGTACAAGCTTGAGAAAAACTGAGCAAGTCTCCTGTAACAGCAGCAGTCTGGTTCATCATCTCATCTTACTCTTTGAGACCAAGTCACTGCTCCAAACAGGGCAACACATCATCACCTGTCCACACTGTTCACTGGAGATAACAGTCATTAAAAAATGCACACCAATTCATGGAGTAAAGATGAGGAATGCTGAATAGAGTCTATACTAGCTTTATCTCTTGAAATAAAAACAGCCTTAAGATGGCATGTAGTTCTGCTTAAGTACCCATTTTTTCTAACTGAAGCCTTTGCCCACCAAATCACAAGCTGGTCTACCAGTCAAGTACTTTCCTATTTATCTAGACAATGTGGTGGTAGGTTTCCACAGATTCAGCATGTTTAAGAGAGTACAGCCAGCCTAGATTAAAATTCTGCAGCTTACTCCTAATAGGAAGCCTCCACATACACTCACCAGCTGAAAATGGACCCAAGTTTAGTGTCTAGAGGTGCAGCACATTCTACATGTGGTAGGGTTACTGACTCTCCCACAGCTGTTACCAGGCCCCTTAAGCCCCAGGAAAGTATTACTCTCCCTCCTGGGGTTCCTAATGCACTTCAGCATTTATTGCTGTACTGTAAGTTAGACTTCACCAGTTTTAGTGTTTCTCCTTTAACACATGCTTAGGCCTTTCAGCAAACTCATGGTCATTTATACGAGTGCCATGAACTGGAAGGACCAGCAACATAAATATGAAAGTGCAACAAAGACTGACAGTTCCAGCAGGCAAGAGCATTTCCTAAAACAATCTTGCACTTCTCTTGAACATGCTAAAGCTAATGAGTCATTTGCTGAGGAGGTATCAAGATGTGGATCTGCAATTCTGACTGCTTTGCATCAGATGTAAAGCTTTCTGTTGTAAGGCCACAATTCTTGAGCTATACTTAGAACTAACCCCAGGTCTGAAGAGTTTCTTGAACAGTGGTTGCAACAGCTCAGTTCAGCTTCACAAAAAGTCTTCTCTAGAGAAGGGGAACGTTTATCTTTAAGACAAAGCAAAGAAAGATACCTGGTTACCCTGAAACTTAATACCATCTCTACTAAGTAGCCTGAAAGCCACAGGACTTAATAGAGTTGCTCAGTGCAAAGCACCATGTTGAGGACAGACCTGTTTCATGCCGATTCAATCAGTATAAATTTCAGCTTCCATACCCCACTGCAATTAGAAGAGGGTCTAAATTCTTTTGTCACTTGGTTTCAACAATCCACTCTGATTCCTAGTGAAGTCTATCGCAGCCCGATACATTTACAGTCATACAAAATCATTTATACCAGAGTATATCATAACAGGGTCCTTAATTAGTTCAGTCTATTGCAGAAGACATGTATAGGCCTCCTCTTCCCTATCCAGAGGGCTTGTAAGCAGAGCTGCTGTCAGGAGCACTGACTGGGAATCCCTTTACATCCACAGCATACTAGGAGACTCCTCCCAGAGTCAGGACATCAAAGCAGATGTTGCAAACTCGAACTGGCTTGTTCAGATCAAATTTTATGATAGGAATCTCCTTTGTTGAGCACTTATGGCAGAGCAGGCGTCCACAGTGTCGGCTGTTGATAGAAGAGGGGTGGGAGAAGAGTGAATTCCCTTCTAATGAACACCAGGATGTTACTGTCTAACACTCTTTATCAATGACAGCATCATTAAATACACACCAACAATTAAAATGCTGATTGTCTTGTATCTTCTGATATTTGTCATGGAATAACTGACTAATGCCAACAGCACATGCTGGTTCTGTACTAGTGAGTCAGCTGGTACTGCTTCACCTGATGCATGTGTAGTTTCTCTAGCACACTGAGCTAAGAAAAATCTTAGTTTAACACCCTTCCAACCCAGCAAGTTTTGTACAAGTTCAGACTATTTAAAAAAGGCAGCTCCTATCTACACAAGAGCAGCTCATGTTCATCTTCAGCCATTTCCACACTACAAACAGATTCCCAAACCTGAGCTGTCAACACCTGCCCAAATCTGCCACCTCTTTTGGAGCAGGTCATCCTAACACTGTGGTGGTGGTGGGGTGCTCCCTCCTGTCTTTCCTGTGTAAGCCACAGCACCAGGGGCTGTCCTCTCTGAACCTCGTGCCTCCACAGGAGGCTCTCCCTGACCCACATCCTCTATGCAGGAAATAACCAAGTGCACCTTTGCCATCAAGTCCTGATAAATCACTGCCACATTTACCATTAAACTTCTTTTAACTCACTGTCTTAATAAAACATACTGCTGCTCCTCTGTGGAGTGAAGTGCATCACACACTTTCTCTGGCAACTGGGTATTTAAATCCACTACTGAAATTTGGACATGATTTCTCATTTACAGCCAATCAGAATATTAAGTGCACAAGCTGCTTAAAACATGATTTCAGTCAGACTACAAGTTCCTGATCTAAGACAGGATGGAATGTTTCAGCTGAATTAGTGATTATACACCTATCTTAACAAGGAGGTTTCCTAAACTACTGGAAGGAACAAGCCTAGCTACATTTGGGGTGGAATCCATTTCCTTATAAGCACAGCAAGGCGGCTCATATTACCAGTGATGCTTTCTTGTCGTGACTCCGAATTTGGCAGCACATTCATAGCAGTTGGAGCCATCACACCAGGGAGGTTCTTTTGTCAGCATATCTGTTAAGAGATAAAAATGTGAAGGCAAAATGGGCTCAGACACCTCCTGAGCACACTAAACCTGAAGGCTTTTTCCAGTTCTAGGCTGCATTCAGTATAACTGAAT